TTCCCATACGCTAGGGGGACTGCATCAGCTGGTGACCAGCCCACACTGGAACTCCGAATTACTGAACTGAATCCAAAATTCCATGGGAGAGCAAGGTCAGGGAAGCAAAAGCAAGGGCAGAGAAGGCATAGGTTTCCTATCAGTGACAGACACCTGTGGGGTTTACCTGGGTCCCATCTAGCTTTGCAAAGCACACACACAGGTGTTGGGTAGGTGTTGCAGCAAGACCCAAGGCTAGAAGCTAAGCAGTATTAGGAATCCTAACCTTATTCTCCTCCTCTTACCCTGAGACTCACAGCCCCTTATTCTACATTCTGTACAAATTTTCATCTGAAGGCAGGTTCTATGGTGAGTTCATTCTTCATAAACTTCCACAGACTCCTCAGATGACATAAGTTAAAAAACCAAGTCAATTAATGCCCCCCCACCAGGGAGAGGGTTTTCTCTCCATTCTACAGCCTTCACCCTTCTGCTGAAGCCTCACACATCTGAGAAAGGAAAAGAACATCTTGGGACCTCAAACTCAGTATACCAAAGTATACTCAGTATACTCAGCTTGGAAGCTGAGTCACAAAAACACTGTCTTTCCTTTTGTTCCTAAGCAGATAGGTACAAGAGGCCACATCTCCCCAGGTGGCCTCCCAGAGCATGGGCCAGAGGAAAGTAGAAATCATCCCCACTGCCCACCCTCAGTTGAATGCAGATTTGAATTTTTCCTCTATTATGTTTATCTTTTATAAAGAGCAGTTTTGCTGAGAAGACATACTCGACTGTTCTTCCACCCATTCCTTTCCACGTGCAACATGTGGATTCAGTGAGCGTTAATCAGTCTCCTAAGAATGTGACCATACTCTCCCTCTTTTTTTTTTGCTTTCCTCCTTTCTCCTCCGGCCCACTTTTCCCCTTTAAATACTGAAGCCCTCCAAATCCTCTTTGGAGAAAGTGCAGGCCATAGATCCTACAGTGGCTTGTGTCTCTTTTCCCTGGTGTGTTCTCACCCTTTGGCAAAATAAACCTGGACGTTGAGACTTGGCTCCATCCTTTTCTTTGGTTTACATGTCAAAGCTGGCATATACAACATACCTGGCTGAGCAATTTTGACTTAATATTTCTTCTCCGGGCTTTGGGATAGCCGAGATAGAAAAATATGCAGAAGCCATTTCTCTTCAAAGAATTTTCAAACAATTTATTTCACAGGAGAGGTGGAGAAGGCCAATAGAATGAGTCTCTTCTTCACAAAAGTTTTATAACCCATTAAAAAAGTATCTTTCTAATCCCCTCGGAGTGGAAAACAGGTAAATCTCAACCTGGAGACAAGCTCTAAAGCACAGAGCTCTCACCTGCTGCAGGAGGCGTGAAGGCTCACTTCTGAAGTTTTCTTGCGTTTATTTTCCATTTTCTTAGCACAGAATGTTCTCTCCAACAAAGTCCATTCAGAGAGACTGAAATATAAATGTAGCTGCATTGGATTCCAGAGGAGGACTTGATCAAATACATAAAAATGGTGGCATCAATGACCGAATTATTTTACTTCTAGCCAAGTTAGATACAAGTCTCAGTTTTCTTCTCAAAGCTCCCTTATACTTCAAGGAAGTAAGAACACAATCAGTCTGCAACCTACAATGCAAGTGCCCAACTCCTTTTCCATGAAGAGCTTCTATAGAATTCCACACTCCCTTAAGCACAACCTCACTCTTTCTCTCACTTTTGGGAGAGAAAAAAGTAAAAGATGCCTCCATGTCACTGACAACCTGAGTATGATCCCCTCAAGGCTGTTAGTACATACTTTATTATAATCATGTGGAAAATAAGCACCCAATTCTAAGTCTTTTCTACTTAATTGTCATTTCTGACTCTGGTATCTCATAACCAAAATGAAGCTATTTTTCCTTTGGAAGTTCCTAATGTCTTTTGTTCAACTCACTTTAAAACATAAAGGAACTGGTTGGGCACGGTGGCTCACGCCTGTAATCTCAGCATTTTGGGAGGCCAAGGCAGGTGGATCACAAGGTCAGGAGATCAAGACCATCCTGGCCAACATTGTGAAACCCCGTCTCTATTAAAAATGTAAAAAAATAGGTGTGCATGGTGGTGTGTGTCTGTAGTCCCAGCTACTTGGGAGGCTGAGGCAGTGGAATCGCTTGAACCCGAGAGGTGAAGGTTGCAGTGAGCCGAGATCAAGCCACTGCACTCCAGGCTGGCAACAGGGAGAGACTCTCAAAAACAAACAAACAAAAAACAACAACAAAAAAACAAACATAAAGGAACCCTAAAAAGCAAACAAAGGCTGACACACCAATAAAATCACTTAGGCCCTATTGTATTTTGGTAAATCTAGATAGGCTCTGATTATTTGGTCCTAACATGAAGAGATTGTTTAGAAATAATTTAATTCATAAAACCCACTGTTGAGGCTTTCATGACACTGGCTCTTAACATGAAAAGTAAGAGGCAAAATGTGATGCTGCAACGTAATCGATTTATACTTTGTTTTTCGAAATTCGTTGTCCCTAGGAGCTAGAAGGCAGGCTGGGAAGAGCATGGAGCTCCCAGGAAAAAGGATGGGGCAGCGTCATCCAACAGTGCCATCTGCACAGTGAAGCTGGGGCTGAATACTAAACTGTGCTGAATTACAAGGTGTTCCCCCAACATGTGTTATTTCCACAACTTAAAATTTAAATTTCTTTCTCACCCAGACTTGTCTTCTGAGGCAAAAAAAAATGAGCCTTTAAGACGGACCCAATCTGTGTCACCTTTTTATCCCTCAGCTCCTATCACAATTTCTAGAACGCAATAGTTGCCAAATAAATACCTAATTAAAAATCTCTCCATCTGGGACATCTTCTAGAAAAGTCTATGTGGGCTATCTTTAGTACTAACCCCACAATCAAAGTTTTCCCTCAGTTAAAAAAAAAAAAAAAAAAAAAAAAGACTGATTTGGTTTGGTGCCGTGTCTCCATCCAAACCTCATGTTGAACTGTAATCTCCAGTGTTGGGAGGTGGGGCCTGGTGGGAGGTGACTGGATCACGGGTGGTCTAGCACCATCCTCCAGCACTGCCTCGTGACTGAGTTCTCACAGGGTCTGGTTGTTTAAGTGTGTAATCCCAGCAGAGCAAGGTGGCTCATGCCTGTAATCCCAGTACTTTGGGAGGCTGAGGCAGACAGATTACCTGAGGTCAGGAGTTCAAGATCAGGCTGGCCAACATGGGGAAACTTCAAACACAAAAGTTAGCTGGGTGTGGTGGCTCATGCCCGTAATCTCAGCTACTCAGGGGGCTGAGGCAGGAGAATCCGTTGAACCCAGGAGGCAGAGGTTGCAGTGAGCCGAGATCACATCACTGTACTCCAGCCTGGGTGATAGAATGAGACTCCATCTTAAAAAAAAAAAAAAAAAAAAAAAAAAAAAAAAAAAGGTGTGTAACCCCTCCCCCTTTGCTCTTCCTCCTGCTCCTGCCATGTAAGATGAGCTTGCTTCCCTCTCTGCCTTCTGCCCTGATTGTAAGTTTCCTGAGGCCTCCCCAAAAAACAGAAGCCTATACAGCTCACAGAACCATGAGCCAATTAAACTTCTTTTCTTCATAAATGACCCAGTCTCAGGTATGTCTTTATAGCACTGCCAGGATGGACAAATACAATGACTTAGCAAATATTTTTTGTTTGTTTTGAGACAGAGTCTCACTCTGTCACCCAGGCTGGAGTGCAGTGGCCCAATCTCAGCTCACTGCAATCTCCACCTTTTGGATTCAAGTGATTCCCCCGCCTCAGCCTCCCAAGTAGCTGGGGTTATAGGCACCTGCTACCATGCCTGGCTGATTTTTGTATTGTTAGTAGAGACAGGGTTTAATCTTGTTGGCCAGGCTGGTCTCGAACTCTTGACCTCAAGTGATCCACCCACCTTGGCTCCCAAAGTGCTGGGATTACAGGCATGAGTCACTGCACCCAGCCCCAAATTTTTATCTTCATGTAAATATAAGGCAATGAAAATGGAAGGCTCCATTTTTTAGCAAAGGTATTTTAGGTATTGATAAAAAGAGAGGAAAGGAAATTTGAAGATATGGGGGAATACATTCTCCAGACATTGTGTCACCTTGGTTGTGACAGGCCTATCCTATAAATACCACTGACAATGTGAAGCCAAGGAAAGAAAAACTCATTCTCAAGTTTGGCATTCATGGCAGACAGATGTGGCTTTCCCAACAGTCTCTGTTCCAACTCAGTCAGGTTTAAATGCACTGCCTCAAAAGATGGGCAGCAGCTGGGAGACTCAAGACTTACTGGTACATTCCCTGCTCTCGGTCTACGAGGTTTTATTCCCATAAATGGGCCCATGTATTCAGATGACAATGCTGTCTACCCACAGATGCCCTGGGTAGGCATCTGTGGGAAAAAGAAGCCCTACCCATGATGACTGTAGGCTTCACTGAGGCCAGCGCGGACCTGTGCCTGCCACACTTCTGGGGCAGAGAGTGGTGCGAACCCAGCTGAGGATTTCTGAAGCTGGGGGTCCCCCATGGCTCAGAAACAGGCCCAGAAGCCGGCTGGCTATCAGGACACCAGAGACCAATCACATTCCTACTCCTTCCTAAAAACCAGATGCTGGAAGCTGTCTCCTTATTTGGGGAATGGAGCTTCCATTTCATAGGTGGCTAAGGGGATTTTATATGCAAAGTCCCCAAAAAGAAATTCATTGTGATGCCCAATTATCCCTAACTTCTTTTCACTGATATTCTCAATTTGCTATTCCCCAGATACCGTTTCCTGAATTAAATTCAGTTGATCTTTTTTACTCAAAAAAGTGATGAGTTATCTCCAGAACACTGATTTTATCAACCTTGAGAGTAACGCTGCCTTTCTATATTATAATGACCAGAATGTTCTGAACATTTCCATTGCTTCAAAATTAAGTTTGTAATAATTACTTGGACACAAGACCTGCCACTGACTCACACTTTATAAAAAGTGTGTAGCATTACCCGGATATAATTCTCTAGGAAGAGAATTCCCATTTTATTCATTTATTTATTTTTTGCAAACAATTTTAGAGGAAGGGTGTTAAACTGATTAAAATTTCACAAGATTGACATTATTGCTTAAAGTGCTTGAATTGGTTACATTTAAAAAAAAATTAAGGTACAGATTATTTTAAATTAAAACTACAATATTTTTAGCGACAAAATAATAGGAATGCCACACAAATACAGTAACTATTTTGGTTATACAGAAATCGAAGCCAAAAATAAATTAACGTAATACTGGAAAACAGGAATATAATTAGGCAGAAAAGTAGGAAATAATTTTCTCTGACCCATGCCATTTACATGAGTTCATCACAATAGTGCTGATAAATGCCTTGACCATATAACAGCAAACGAGGGCAAAACATTTAGTGCACAATATTTTAATACACATGAATATACAAAGTTGATCAAAATGCAATGTTGAAAGATAAAATCCATCTGTAATAAAGCTACACTCCAATATCTAAAATAAGCCCTAAGCTCCAGTTAGAACATAGTTCATTATTAGGCATGCCCATGAAATTAAGGGTATCCATGAAAATAAATGCATAGGGACCATTTCTGACATTTTCCCCCCATTTTATCTTAAGTCCAAAATATACCAGGCCATAAAACCAAATGTGATTGACTTCCCATTCAAACTAATGCCCTGCTTGTGTTGTGCCTTGCTCTCTTCAGACCAGTCCATTTTCTGTGACAGTGACCTTAGAAGGGAAAATGCATACATAACAGGACCCGATGCGAGCATTTTACCAAGATTTACTTTTAAACACGACTTTTTAGCATACTATGCCATAACCTAGAGGCTAAACTAGGGAGTAATCAATAAAGCAAATGTTCCCTCTGTTTTTTTTTTTTAAGTGTAAAAGATTGTAACTTATTTTTTAACACCCAGCAGTTAAAAGAAATACAGCAGGCCTCCTCACTCCTGCATATGACACACAAAACCCTGGCCATTGGAGGGAATACCGTGAAGGCTTTGTGCTACCGCTGACCTCAAACTGGTCTCACATCTCCCACACCATTTCCTGCTTTACACCATGAATGAGGGATGAAAACTAAAAGTGTTTGCATGCTACTGTCTTTACATAGAGAGACACGATTGGGAGAAACATGTAGCTGCCTAGTGTTTGTTTCGTTTATTGAGGAGGAAGAAGGAAAAATTAGCAGATAGCTCTAAATTTTAAAAAACGGATGGAGTGTTACTGGAGAAGTGTGTTTTGGTCTTTTATCAATCTTCTCTTCCTGTACCATACAACTGTTTTAATGCCTTTGCAATATTTTCTTACACATATCCTTTTTCGTTCCAAAAATGTATCCATGAATGCTAAATTTTAACTGACTCTTTGTATTAAAAGGAATTACTTTGCTTAAATCACTGGGAAAAACTTTTTGCACAACCAAATAGAAAAATATCCTGAACTTACTATGACTTAGCATGTAAACATTACTTCTACAGGTTTCCAATTGAAATATTTTTTCTAATAAATTAGCTTCAAGAGTTGTTTCAAAGATAATTTTAATAGTTTTTCTTATGAATCAGTTCCAAATATATTAGAGACCAACCATCATTTTCTTAAAACTTTGTAACTTGCAGTCAAATATATGGATTCTATATAGTACAAACATTTCCCTACATCAATCGCCGTCAGTTGGAAAGTGCCTCTCCTTAAAAAGAGAATAAAGACTCACCTTCCAGGTAGTGATCACTGCGTAAGGTTCATGGAGGATAAGAGGAAAATATTTATAAATATGAAATTGCCTCTAAACAAGGCAAGGTACATTTCCGTCACTTGTATGAAACAATAACATGAAGATCACCCTGCTTTGTCTTCTCCAGTGAAAAGTAAAACATTTCACTTCAAGCATAAACAGATGAAATGTTGGCATGCTTACTTAAGTTCTGAGCAATAAACAGTTCAAGATATTTCAAAGATCAGAAATCCAGTTTTCATCTAGATAAAGTGCTATCCTCTTCATTGTTGCAAAATGGCCACTAACATTTTCCATTTCAATTTTAGTTCACATTATGCCCAAAGTTTGCATGTTCATTAGCAGATGCATTAGGTAACAAAAATATGTTCACAGTTTATTATAGTGTATGGAAGTTAAGTGACTTCCAAAGGAAGCCGAGATCTATGACTCAAAAACCAGCTCAACGGCAAAACACCAAACGACCCTTTTAATTAAAGGTACCAGTACTCAAATGCTCTAATAAATACATATATAATAAAAGTGGAAAAAAGTAACTACAATGAGATGAGGTTCTTCCAAAAAAATTCTGTCTTCTCAAGCATTCTAGGAGTCTGAGCCAAAGAAACAGCGCCATTTTGTTCATTCCTCCCCCTGCCCACAGACACTTCCTTTGAGCCACCTTCCTACCCAGCTAACTCTGGTATTCCCTCTAGGGAAGGTTCTATATCAGCCCTGGGACTCGCCAGTGCCTCAGTAAACAGACGGACTATGTTAAAAAGTTAAGTTGTACAATGTGCTGATGGCTGGAAAGGTGCAGTGCCTTTGCTATTCCTGATAAGGAACAATGTCGGTGCGGACTGGCTAAGGGGAGGTTTGCCAGCCCTGCAGCCCTGCATACATCAGCAGGAGTGGAAAGATACCTTGAAAAGCTTAGCAGTGCCGGATACAGAATAAACACAACTCACAGGGCCTTACAGAAGAAGTGTGACTGAAAATAGACAGCATAGAGTTATTTTCCTGAAACTTGGTTTTGGTAGAAAGGTACAAAAAGTAACTTTTCATTGTCCACAAAAACTTCCTCCTTTTGGCTTTGCCTGCCCTGAGCCTTCTTAACCCCTGGAATTCTAACAGCAAGGTCAGCACAGACCAGTGCCAATGCCAGCCAGCACCAGCCACCACGGACAGCTTCTCTTCACCCTGTTCCATGTCGAGGATGATTTTAGTATCGAGGTTACTCACTTTTCGACATTTTCACTTGCACAAACTTAAAGCTATAGTTGCAACCCTAAAAGGTGATTATCTACCCAATTCTTCTGTCCTTGTATCAGAAAAGAGGCAGAGAAGTTGAAAATGGGCAGCAATGCTTCCAGGGACAAGTTAAAGGAATGCATTGTAAGAAGACCCTGGAAGCCGTAGAAGTTTAGCAAACACTTAAAATAGACTGTAGACATTCATAGGAAATGTCATTCTAATACAGCCAGACATAACGAATGGCATAGCTTTCACCCAATCCTAAAATTAGCAACTGTTACTCATATAAATCTGACTACAATCTGATTGCAGTTAACTCTACCTCAGACTGAAATAAAACCAAGAGTAGTGTTGCATGTAAAAACAGAAAAGGAGAGAGTCTAACACAGCCAGACCATTGAGACTTGGAGTGATACCATTAGTGGGCCACTAGGGAAGAAGAAAGACTGCAGAGAAACCAGGTAATAGTGCTTTGAACATTTCCCCCCACTTGAATTAGTCCCACAGTTCTTTTAAGTTACTCTCTTGACTGATAGAATAAAATATATCCAGATTCTGAATTTTTTGATATATCTGATGTCAGGCCATAGAATTCTTCAATAGCTTGAGCATCTATTTTCTGCAATAAAAAAGAAAGAAAACAATACAATTACTTATAACATGATTCCTGGGAAAAGGAAATAAAAACTAATGGAAAATATATTAAAATGCAAGGAACACAATTTCTTATAAAATCATGATTAGGGAACTGTGTGCAATGTCCGATGCCTGTAATCCCAGCACTTTGGGAGGGAGAAGCGGGCAGATCTCGAGGTCAAGAGATTGAGACCCTCCTGGCCAACATGGTGAAACACCGTCTCTACTAAAAATACAAAAATTAGCTGGGCGTGGTGGTGCATGCCTGTATTCCCAGCTACTCGGGAGGCTGAGGCAGGAAAATCGCTTGAACCCGGGAGGTGGAGGTTGCAGTGAGCTGAGATCATGCCACTGCACTCTGGCCTGGCGATACAGGGAGACTCCGTCTCAAAAAAAAAAAAAAAAAAAAAAAAAAAAAAAATCGTGATTAGGAACTTTCACTAGCAAATGGAGAATTCCACAGACTTGGCTGAAGGTTATCATCACATAAATTGCACATCTCTAGGAAAAAAGGCAATGTCTCCATGCATCAGCAACCCTGTGTGGGCATTCTTTGAAGAAGCCAAGACATCTGCCAAATGGTAAACTGGTGGGCCCTGGAAATAGCCTTAAGTCTTTCTGGCCACCAGAGTTCATCTCTTTTAGTGTTATTCCACTAAAACTGCTACCCTAGTGGGTTAAAATAGATCATGTCTTTGAGTTTAGAATTCATTCCAGCTAGTATTCTTTTATAACAAAATCAATACATAGAATGTACTGGTTTAATACAGATTTCCAGATCCAGCAGACTGAGAAAAAACTTTAAACAATAATCGGTACAAGAAAAATTTGTTAAAAATAAAATAATCTGAATAGAACTTTGAAGTCTATTGTTTGCCCTGTATCAGAGGGGGCTTTAGTCATGATGAGGTAGAGAGATCCCATGTCTGTGCTGAACTGTGGAGAACACGGCGTCTGTGAGTCCATGATCACACTCCTTCTCCCTTTCCACGGAGCACGGGGATCAGCAGAATTTGGTTTCGAATAGAAATGTAAGTTGTTTTCAAGTTACATTATGGGGAAACAGGCCTACTTTAAAAAACGTCTATACATAACACGTTCCCCGAAATACTACTGATGCCCTATAACTACTGGAGAATAATCTGAAAACCAACCTCTACAATGTCATCATCAAACAAAAGCCAGAAGCCGTGACTTTTCACAATAGTGATATAATGCCCACGATTAGGACCACTGGAAAAGAACAAATAAAAGAAGTTAGCATGTTAACATTGATCTCTTTATAAAACTCTACTGGGCTCTTTATAAGCAGTGATTCTCTGGGGAAAAAACTAAGTCATCAGGACAAAGAATTTGGCATAGACCCCATGTCTACATCCATAACACCATGCTGGATATAGGGGAATACAAAAGTGTGCGGGAGAGATATTTTCTAAGGACTCATAATCCAGCAGGAAAAACAGACACTCAGATTCAGCAAATATTAACAAAAAATTACTCTCCACCTACTCTGTCTTGGGCCCTATTCTAGCTGACAGGGGAAGAAGCAGTGAACAAAACAAAGACCTCACTGATTTGGGACTTGGGGTAGGGGCTAGATTGGCAATACGCTAACTAAACTTACAAATGTATGTCAAGTGGTGAGAAGTGTCATGGAGAAGGATGAAGCAGAGTAATGGGATCTGAGCGATGGCAGGAGGTATTATTTGATAGACAGTGAGGGGAGGCCACTTGGATAATGTGGGCAGAGGAAATTTCCCTGAAGGAAATGGCAGGGGTAGGGGTGGAGGGTCAGGGTGTAGGGGGAAGCCATGCAGCTCTGGATGGAAGTTTCAGAAATAGAGAATAGCAAGTGGCAAGGCCTGGGGCAGGCGAGTACCACTTGGTGTGTTCAGAAACAGCAGAGAGGCCAAAGGAGGCCAGAGCAGCAGAGTGAGCGGGGAGGGAAAGACGGGAGCGGACTGAGAGGCAGGTGCAGGAGAGATCGCAGGTAAGATTTTAGGCTTTGCTTCCAGCAAGTCAGGAAGACAGAGGAATTTTAAGGAGTTGCATGATCTGTGTTTTAGAAAGACATCAACAAACCAAGATGCATAGTAACAAGTATTAAAATAAAAAGCCATATACCATGCTATATGGAAAAAAGCAGAAAGAACCACTAAGCAGCAGTTACTATGTAGTTAGGTTAGATGTGCACGAGTGAGGGGATTTTAATCCTAAACCTAGAACTGTTTTTTAATGCACTGCTCAAGTTGAAAAACCAAGCCTCCCCTTTTGTTTACCCTCTTTCAGCGCAAGATGATGCCAAAGATCTGTTTCTGCTCTTTCTCCAGCCTCCTCCAGCTCCTGTCTCCCTTTCCCTCTGAGCTCCAGCTCATCAGGCTCCTCTCACACATGCCCCCTTCACATTGTGGGCCTTTGCATTGCTGTAAACTCTGACAGAGATGATCCTTCCCCAACTGCATTCTTTTTATGCCTCAGCTCAAATGTCACCTCCCCAGATAAATCTCTGCTGACCACTTCACCTGAAGAGGTATCTCCCATCACTCACTCATCTCCCTGTTTATTCCTCATAGCACTGATCGAAATTATAAACTAACTTGCAGCGGTTTATTTTTGGTGGTAGCAGAGTGGTCTGTTTTTTTTGCTCATTATCAATCTTTCCAGACAGATTATAAGCTTTGTGAGGGCAGAGCCTCTGTGCTGTGTGTCTTTTCGTTACTCTATCTTCAGATCCTGGCATGGAACCCAGAAAACATGAGCTTTAAAAAAAAAACCTGCAGCAGAAATCAATGCATAAGGTTGTGCACTTGCTGCAGCTATGGGCCAGGAGGTCCTGGCATGGAAGGTAAGGCAGGCCCAGCTCCCTAACCTCAAAGTTTTCCAGTGCCACCTGGAAGCCACCCAATCTTCATACACAGGCCACCCCCACTCCACATAGGAGAACAGCCCTACTTCTGCTGGGAGGAGTTTGAAGAATCCTAGACAGTAGCATGCCTGACTTGGCACCAACTGATCTTTGCTGCCGGGGCCTTTCTTACCTTGTGCTCGCATTACAGAAACTGACCTTAGAGAACCCAACCTCCCACTGGTTGTTCAGGTCCCTCACGTGGGTCTCTGCCAGTCCTCCCAAGGATTCAAATCAGACACTCACAGAGACCCACATGGAAAGTCCTGTGTAGCCTGTGCAAGGGGCACCTGTGTTTCTCCTTCGCCTAGCCTTCCCAGCAGGCCCTCCCGGCCACACCACCCCTGCCACCCACTTCAACCGCAATGCCCACCAGGTCCCAGGCTGTGCCTGCCCTAAGACCTTCTCCAATCCTGCACCAATGTGAGGCCTCGCCCAGCGCCCAAGGCTAGGTTCCAGTGATCTGGAATCCTGTGCTCTTCAAAAGAGTAACAGCTGTTCTTCAGGGAGAACACTGCAACACTGGGATACAACTGGCCAATACATACAATTTTACTGAGAATACAAGAAAATATCCAGTGACTTAAAGTTAATACACAGAGGACAAAATACGGGGTGCTTCAGATGTGAAGTTACAGTTTCTGATACCATCCACCCTAGTACACAATTAAAAAATAAATCGATCCATCCCTCCACATGGCAATGGTAGTCTCCTGGTAATGCTGCGTTCACTACAATCGATCTCGGCAGACGGAGGAGAAAAAGATTCTTGCTCTGTGATACGCCCCAATCTAAAACCTACGAGGGCAGGAGGAAAGCTGTGCCTACCCCCAAGGTAGAACATAAACCTGTCCCAGCTGAGCAAAGAATAACAAACAGGTGAATTTTCAATATACTCTTCTGCATTTATACCAAATTATGAAATAAAAAAAATCTCAAATTTCGGCAAGATGCTTTGCCTTTCCGTATCTAGAGGCCTTCTCTCTCTTACTTTGTTTTTTTCTGATTATATACTTATTTTAGAATTTGGGGAAAGACCAAAAATAACAAAGATTATTTTTTAAGAATATGTTTTTAATCACTCAAAGTGCCAGAATATTATTAAATTTGATCCATTGCTTCTAGTCTTTATTTACACAACTTAAAATGCTTTTGAGATCATACTATAAATCTAACTTGGCTTTTTTAAAATTAAAAACACAGCATAGACATTTATTTCTCCATGTTATTTCAAATTCCTCAGAACGATTATTTCTATGCAACGGAGATTTATTATTTCTCTCATAATAGCACATTTAGATGATCATTGTTGGAATGCTATTTTTTTAACGTGTCTGTACGCATGTTTATGTGTTTTTTTGAGATGATCAGTAAGAGTTTGGAAGAGACCCCAAAAATGCTGAGTGCCACGGCACAGGAAAGGTGCAGCTGGATATATTTCAGCCAAGGGGCAACTTTACACTTACCCTGTGTATTTGCTTCCAGTCATGCCCTTACCTGCCACAGTGAACAACCACAGCAACCAGGTCATACATGCGGTCCAGGTTCACCGCATCACTGGAGGTGTTGAAGAGCCGGAGCTCCAGAGGGAAGACCACGCGGTAAGACAGCTTGGTGTATCTGTGCAACTGCTCCATGTACTTGAACCGCTTTAGATGCAGGGCCAAGATCATGGGCAGCTTTTTTACTCTCATCCTAAGAAACCATGAAATAGAAAATCAGTTGTACCCAATACCTGTTAGGGGAAGAAAATACACTGTCATCTGCACAAACAGAACAGGAGGGGAGGTCTATCAAACTTCGAACCAGCAAATAACCAGATAGTTTGCAAAGATAAAAGTATGCTGGCTTATATAGAGCTGACTTATCCTATATCCCTGGCTCCCAGGAGCATTCCAGCAGGAGAAATGTACAATGGTGTGTCTGGTGAAAGGTAATGTTCCAGAATTTTCATACAAATATAAATAGGCTATGCAATTGTTCTCCATCACTGCTCTGTAACTTCCAGAGAGGAATGATATTTGGACAATCTATCCCCTGAGATGATGGAAAGGAGGTTTGAGAGATTTTGAGAACAGGAGCCTGGGAAGAGGACAAGGTGGACAGTGCTGATGGCTGGACTTACAGGTTCTGAGGACTGGCAGGGGGATGGATGCTTCTGAAACACACTCTTGGGCATCGGGACACCAAGCATGCCAGGCTCACTATGATTCCGACCTTTGTGATCTTGGGCAAGTCATTTCCTTTCTCTAGCTCTAGTTCCTCCTTTATAAAATGCAGGGGTTGGCTTAGGGCTATATTTCCCAAACTGGGCTCATGAGAGCACTGGAAATGTTAACAGATGTGGTGTTTCTGTGCCCGAATAAGTTTGGACTATGCTACTTTCTGCTTTGAAGATCCTATGTGTACATTACCAGAATGAAGATTTTGAGAAATCCTGCAGTAAAGGGATTGTTTTGTTGTTTGATGTTGGATTTCCCGAACTTATATAAACATAGAAAGTTTTTTTTACTAGGTGGCCATTAACACTCCTCAGTAAAATGTCACAAAGGTAACAGTTTATGCAGAGCACACTGCTAGAATAGAGGGTCTTCCAGTTTCTTTCCAGCCCCCCATTCCATGAATGTACTGAATTAAGTGTAAATGTTGTTTAGTTTGTGTACATTTTTAATGCATAGTATGTGAAAAGGACAAATTTTAAAAGAACAGTTTTAAGGAACCTATTAAGGAAAAGCCCTGGTCACAAAAATAAGCAAGTAAAACATCAGTAGAAAAATAAGAATTACGGGGAACCCCATATTTTATAGGAATACATGCCGTTGTAAACCCTCCAGAGCCGAACAAAAATGACTAAATGCCACAAAGAAAAGACCCGAGGCCAGTCTTGGGCAGACTGAGGTTATAAGGACGAGAAGCAGACGCGAGTGACCTTCCTCACTAACAAAAGATATCTGCCTATCTCCTTGATGCCTGCCTGCAATGGTGACTAACTTTGTGTAAGTTTTGCAGCAAAGAAAGTTGTACATGTTTGGGGTGAAGGCCTGGGAAGGCTGGGCAGAGAAATGATCTCAACCTCAGGTCTAGACCCTTGAGGGTTTTAGACAGCAGTACTGAGCATCTGCCAGCTGCCCTGAATACTGCAGAACCACTGCCAAGCCAGATTTAACTCGCAGGAAGCCTTCGCAGGAGACGGAAATGGCAACTTTCCTGGCTTGTGGGGCAGACTAATGGGGAACTGGTTATTTCAGATTTTCCAAGAGCTGTAACTGTCTGGTATGCAAAAAAGAGGGAGAACATTGGGTCTTATACCAATTCAGAATGCAGTAACTTTCTAGCTTTCTTATCACCTGTTTTTTTTTTTTTTTTTTTTTGAGACAGAGTCTTACTCTGTCACCCAGGTTGGAGTGCAGTGGCGCAATCTCAGCTCACTGTAACCTCCGCCTCCGGGGCTCAAGTGATTCTCCTGCCTCAGCCTCCCGAGTAGCTGGGATTATAGGCGCAAGCCACCACACCCAGCTAATTTTTGTATGTTTAGTAGAGATGGGGTTTCGCCATGTTGGCCAGGCTGGACTCAAACTCCTGACCTCAAGTGATTGGCCTGCCTTAGCCTCCCAAAGTGCTGGGATTACAGGTCACTGTGCCCCGCCTCTTATCACCTATTCTTATAACTGATGTGTTAATAATTTCCTCACAAGTCCTTATGAAATGATATATATTTTTTAAACCTCTGTCTCTAAAAAAGAGGTCCCAATGTTTAGGCCAGGGGTCCCCAAACTTTTTACACAGGGGGCCAGTTCACTGTCCCTCAGACCGTTGGAGGGCCGGACTATGCAAGGTGTGACACCCTTCACAGCCAGCGCTGCTGCCGCCACTATCCCAGACAGCGGTATACAGTGTCACAGGCCCAGCACCGCCTCCGGTGCTGTATACAGGGATGGCGGTGATCAGCCTGTGACATTGTGTATACAGCGTCCTGGACATCTGCAGCAGTGGTGGGCCTCTTCTGTGGGAAGCCCACTGCTGCATGTTTCCCCTATTATAAGACACCTCCTAAAAATAAGACAGCCCCCGTCTTTTGGGGGTAAAATTAATATAAGATAGGGTCTTATAATAGGGGAAACATGGTGTGTAGTAATGTGGGGGGAGACTTTTGGGCAAAGGGAGGTTATAGGGGCCATTATGCTGTTGTACATTTGGGGGAGTATGGGGGCCACTGTACTGTGTAGAGTGGTTATCGTGCTTTGCCTTTCTTCCTACTTCTGCTGTTACTTCACACTGCTTCCGGTGATGTGGGGCGCCGCAGCTGCAGACCGGATGTGCATCATATGACACGCTTCCGGAGCCGTGACGCAGGCGTCCCGCAACAACGGAAGTAGTACTGTACGTGAGCCACGCCGCGCTTTGCGGAGCCGCCACATACAGTACTCCTGTGCTCCTGTGCATCCGCATCCTGTGCTCCTCTCACTGACCACCAATGAAAGAGGTGCCCCTTCCTGAAGGGCGGCGGGGGCCGGATAAATGGCCTCAGGGGGCCGCATGCGGCCCACGGGCCGTAGTTTGGGGACCCCTGGTTTAGGCAATACAAATGAAAATAATATTGGGTGTCTACTATTTGTTATATACTATTCTAAGTACTTTCTAAAATTTACCTTTAATTCCAAGAAAATAGTGATTATATTTTATCACTACTTGTTTATCCAGCATAAACAATTATCTGGCACATGGTAGCACTCAACAAATATTTGCTGAATGACTGAATGAATGAACAAATGAGTAAACAATCGGACAGACAACTCTCCAAGTTGTCCTCTCCAAGGTCAGCGTTCTTGTCTCAGTTTCACTGGTGAGGAGGGTAACTGACTTCCTCAAGGCTCCATGGCTATGAGCCCAGGAAGCTGAGATTCAAAGCCAACCCTGCTGGGCCCCAGAGTCTGGATCCCTGTCACTACACAAAGCCACCCCTGAGCTAAATCTTCACCTACCTTTTCTGGGCTTCCTGTTTGCTGCAGCATGTTTCACAATAATATTTTTGTTCACTACACAGTGTTTCTGTGTTGCTGAAGTCTCTGTAGAGGGAAATATTTGCATCTTTAAAAAGTGTTCAAATCTACTTGGCATACCATGTTTTAAATCCCTCAATTAACCTGTAGGGTTATTTTTAAGTAAAAATTAGAGAAGTAATCGGAAAAAAATCCTCCTTAAGACTAGGATGGTAGGAGAAACTACAGGACAATAAATACAAATAAAAAGTCTAGGTGCCATTATGCTGACAGACACTCTCTTTTCATTGAATCATAAATTTACCATAAGAGATTTTCAAATGTAGCTTTATTTAATGGAACACAGGCAGATACAAACTAGGGTTTCCAACAGCATTCAGAAAAAAATCTCGTGATTTAATGAAGAATACCTATAAGCTAGAAATTAAAATCGTAATAGAAAAATACTATCGAGAGTAAAAGCTCATCATAAACACTAAAACTTAGGCCCAAAAAAGTCAATCACATAACATGCAAAGTGATATTATTGTGTAGTTAATGAAAAACAGTATTTCTCTGGTAGTCCAGATTTTCAAAGAACATGAAAGTAGGAAGATAATGAAATTCAAACCATATACAAAACTGCCCTCTTTTTGAACTAAGGAAATCCTGAATTAATCAGATGACCACCTCCTACCAACTCCTGCTCCCCACCACTCCCCTGCCAGAGGATAAGAACTTTCGCTTGCCTCCTTTGGAGACCAAAAGCCATTGTGTTTATCATATGCGTTATCTGCCTTATCATGAGGTTCTACTCTGCTACTTATGATTTTCATTTTTTAAATGTCATGGTTTTTCATTCTTTTCCAGCCATCGATATTCTACTTAACATTTCTGTGGTACTGCTTCAAGGGCTGAAAAGAACATCCAGACTAATACCCGACAGTTTTGAAAAATTCTGTGACATTTCCTTGTCATAGAGTATCCTAGCACCATAATGATCAGATTTTATTAAACAGAAAATGCTAAATGTGTTAAATGAAAACACAGATTCTTTCATTCATTAAGTCCCCAAATGTTTACTGTTAGTCCTCTGGGCTACGTTCTGAGGATCCAGAGAATAACTGCCCTCATATGGCTCAAATTTTAACAGAGATACACGCAAATGAAGCACTGAAATACAAAACGATCAGTAGAGCTTCAACAGAAAGTATTACATGGTTCCCCTACTGAAACCCTCCGGCAGTTTCCAGTGCACTATCCACCCTGCCTCCTTCTCTCTGCTCCAGCCGCACTGGCCCTGGGATATCCTCTTCTTGCCTTACGATGTTTGCAGGTGCTATTTTCTCAGCACTGAGAGCTTCCTCCCAGAGGCTTCCATGGCTCGCTGAATTGGCTGTTCGGCACTCAGCCTAAATATCCCCTCTTTGGAGAAGACTTCTCTGACTATTTTCTCCAAGCCTATCCAGCCCCTATCATATTGCTGCCTTGTTTCTCCCCAGCATCTGAACCCATTCTTCTGTCATTCGATTACTTGCCTCCCCTCTATGTGGGCAGTGGCCTTGCCACTCCTATATGCCCAACACGACACACAATGGCACACATTAATATTTGTTGATTGAAAGAATAAACCAACAAAGACAGAAGTAGGCGTAAGGTCCAGGAGAAAGCACAAAGAGGGAAAGTATGCCAGGGGAACAAGTGAATAAGAGTCAAGGACTCCAGAGAGAGAACACAGTGCAGAGGCCTGGAGGGAGGGGATAGCAGTGGCGGTGTATCAGTCCGTTCTCATGCTGCTAATAAAGACATGCCTGAGACTGGATAATTTATAAAGAAAAAGAGGTTTAATGGACTCAGTTTCACATGGTGGGGAAGCCTCACAATCATGTCAGAAGGCAAAGGAGGAGCAAAGTCACATCTCACATGGCAGCAGGCAAGACAGCTTATGCAGGGGAAGTCCCATTTATAAACCATCAGACCTTGTGAGACTCATTCACTACCACAAGAACAGTCTGGGAGAAATCTCTCCCATGATTCAATTATCTCCACTTGGCCCCACCCTTGACACGTGGGAATTATTACAGTTCAAGTGAGATTCAGGCAGGGCACAGCCAAACCATATCAGGTGGCAAGTCACATAGCCTTGAATATGCTACTGAGAAGCCAGCATGGACCCTAACCAACTGTCTCAACAAAGAAAAGACATAGATTGTGCGTTTTAGAAATGCCACTTCTGACAGCATGGTGGAGGGGGAAATGGAGAGGATCGAAAGGCAAGAAACCCATTAGAATGCAACGCACTCAACTTTCAGGTTTCAAGTACATGGTGCATAAAACAGACTCATACACAGCTGAATGAATGCTTCAACTGAGTAATTGCTGTGGAATCTTGTTTTGCCTGCATGGGATTAACTGGAGTGGAATGAGGGAGCAGAGGGGATGAGGTGAGTATGGGCATGGTGGAGCTTCATATACTCCCAATGTCTACCACGGGCAAGCCAGACTACCAAGCTAAAGGGTCACAAGAGCCAAAGAAAGCCCAGCAACAAGTAAGGAATCATGGAAACACAACAGAATTTGGTACCCAATGTAAAGACCCATTTTACAAAGAAGCCGGCTGACCGAGTAATGCTCTTAGGGCATCCATGAGTTGAGAATTGTAAAACGAAGGTTAGTTAGGAGGAGGGGGGACCAGAGCAGTAAATGTTGAGGCAGAGCAGCTATCAGTTAATGCTCTGTATTTCTGTATTTGTTGGATCAAAAGTGGGCAACAATGGTGGAAGAAACTCTTCAATGAGAAAGTCAAGGGGGCACTTGCTCTTTCCAACACTTGTGATAAATTACCAAAGCAAAGAGGAGAGGTTGAGAGAAAAACACAAAATTCTTTGCATTGCTTTAAAAAGAGGCAGAGCAGCAATAAAACATGATTTAAAAATATACTTTTGGGCTTGATACGGTTTGGATCTGTGTCCCGACCCAAATCTCATATTCAATTGTAGCCCCTGATGTTGGAGGTAGGACCTGGTGGAAGGTGACTGGATTACGGGGGCAGAATTCTCATGAATGGTTTAGCAGCATCCTCCTGGTGCTGTCCTCCCCATACATTGTGAGTGAATTCTTGCAAGATTTGGCCATTTAAAAGTGTTTAGCCCCTCCTCCAACCACTGGCTCCTGCTCCAGTTATGTGATGTGCCCGCTCCCACTTCACCTTCTGCCATAATTGTAAGTTTCCTGAGGCTTCCCCAGAAGCCAAGCAGATGCCAGTGCCATGCTTTCTGTCCAGCTTGCAGAGCCATGAGCTAATTAAACCTTTTCTTTATAAATGGTATACCGAGTCCTGACAGAAATGCGGGAATGGACTAATACGGGGCTGATGTGAAAGTAGTGAGTTATCTCAATTAATGGTTCACAGTTAGCTATAGATCAGACTCCTCATTCTACTTTTTCCCCCTTTCTCATATAGAAAGGAAAGAGGGAGGGAAAGAAGGAAGGAAGGGAGGGATGGAGGGGAGAAAAGGAAAGGGAGAAAGAGAAGAGAGAAAATATACTTTGGGAGCAAATCTAATAAGGAAATGCATACTTTTATAAGGAAACACTAAAGCCTTATGCAAATATTTTAAAAACTTGAAAAAAATGGAGAAAGACTGTTTTTCGATGTGAAGGCTATCAATTTATTGTAAACACAGCGATTGTGTTCAAGTTAATGTCTTTGATACATGTTCAATTAAAATCTACTTTTTCACTCACTACAATAATTCAAAATTGATATTAAAAATCCCCAAGCAATGCTTCCTGATAATTTCCATGTCATGATCCACACCGAAATACTACATGAGAAGCATACTAGGATATACTGACAAGGCTGCTCCTACAGCTGGCCATGGGGCTCTGGCACTGCCAGGCCCTCCCAGCCTCCCAGGAACTGAGGGGATGAATACATACCTCTACCCCATTTTTCCTGACTCACCAGTCAGGAAATTTTGTCCTAGAATCTAGTGCAGTGGTTTTCCTCCTGGCTGCTCATTAGAATCATCTGAGGAGCTTTAAAAACAATCCCAAATGCCAATCCCACACCCCTCCACTCCCCACCCTCCCTCCACTCCCCACTCTCCCTCCATTCAATTACATCAGAATCTCTCCAGGTGGAACCCAGGCATTACTGTTCTTTTTTTTTTTTTTTTTTTTTTTTTTGAGACAGAGTCTCACTCCGTCACCAGGCACCAGGCACCAGGCTGGAGTGCAGTGGCTCAACCTAGGCTCACTGCAACCTCCGCCTCCCAGGTTCAAGCAATTCTCCTGCCTCAACCTCCCGAGTAGCTGGGCCTTCAAGGCATGCGCCACCACGCCCAGCTAATTTTTGTATTTTTAGTAGAGATGGGGTTTTTCCATGTTGGCCAGGATGGTCTTGATCTCTTGATCTCATGGTCCGCCCACCTCGGCCTCCCGAAGTGCTGGGATTACAGGCGTGAGCCACTGCACCCGGTGGCATTACTGTTCTTAAATCTCCCCGGGTTATTCTACAGGACAGAGAGCCTTTGCTCCAGTGCTTCCCAATAACCTGGGATCTTTTTTTTTTTTTTTTTTTTTTTTTTGAGATGGAGTTTCGCTCCTGTTACCCAGGCTGGAGTGCAATGGCGCGATCTCGGCTCACCGCAACCTCCGCCTCCTGGGTTCAGGCAATTCTCCTGCCTCAGCCTCCTGAGTAGCTGGGATTACAGGCACGTGCCACCATGCCCAGCTAATTTTCTGTATTTTTAGTAGAGACGGGGTTTCACTATGTTGACCGGGATGGTCTCGATCTCTTGACCTCGTGATCCACCCGCCTCGGCCTCCCAAAGTGCTGGGATTACAGGCTTGAGCCACCGCGCCCGGCTAACCTGGGATCTTGTTGGCACTGGGAGAATGGGAATTCAAAATGACAGGAAGACAGAGGAAGGAGAAGGTGGTTCTAGAGCACTCAGTACTTGGAGAAGAACAGGGAGATTCTGAGAAGGAGCACTCAAGTGGAAGACAAAAAAGGCCATGCAAAGATAATTATGATAAACTTCACGTAGTTTAAGTTTTTGCCTGAGGCCATCCCTGAACTT